GCGAAGGAGGAGAATGTCTTTGCCGCTGCTGCTCTCTGCAAAGCTCAGCAGGAGCAGTGATGCAAGGCTGCCTAACACCTCAGCTCAGCCGTCAGCTTGGGGCAGCATATAAGGAATGATGGTAAAGAACATCCAAAACTATGCCAGCAAGAGCAACCAATGCTGCATTTTAAACTGGGGATTATGCTTAAATTTAGATTAACTATTTAATAACAGTGGTAACCAGGAGCCAAATTAACACCTTTCACCTGAATTTTTGTGTATGAAGAGGAAGGATACCAATCAGAGAGTAATGTTGTTTTGGAACCTTTCAAGACACTGGAAGAACTACACAAGACATCTCACCTGTCCACGGCAATAATCTAAGAAGGGAAGAGGTGTGTGTCAATAGTGAAGCAAACACTGCACGGTTTCTATGGGGATGACAAAGTAAGTCAGGATGATCTGCAGCAGCTTGGATCTTTCTGATTCATACTATGGTAGACAGCAGCAGAAACACATAAGTCTGATGAATGCTGCTCCTCTGAAGGTGAGGTGTGCGTGCAATACCCAGGAAATCCATACCAGCAGATTTCTTACGGCTGCACAGAACTATCACAACTCAAATAGGGCCTTGGCACGTGAATGTCTCTTTTAAGCTTCAATACCTTCTATTATGCTATTAATGTGATGTGGTCTGCAACAAATAGTTATCTAAAAATTCAGGGTGTCATGCCTGCAGGAAAATATATTTTACTTTCTGCTAAGTAACAGCTGTAATATTGTCTCAATCTAGCACCCAACATGCAAGAAGCTCCCTGTTTTCCAGAAGGTACTGACAAGCACCAGAAAGCTTACTTCCTCCCACTGAGAAACTGTGTGAAAAATACATTATTCTTCTTTCATATTTGAGAGACAAGAAGGTACCAGAAAAGCCCAGGAGAAAGTAAAACAATCTACCTGCTCAACAACACTCCCCCACACTATGTTAGGACTAGAGCTAAGCATCTTTCTCTTTTTGTTGTATTTTTAGAACGGCTGTCAGTGAAAGTGTCACTAGTAATAGGAGCAAAAATATCACAGATTCTTGTAAACAAGTTACAGAGACAGCTGAAAAACTGTTGCTGGGATTAGTTAGACCAGGTTCTTTAAACATTATGTTAGACAGTACGCAGGAAAACAAAAATTGCTTCATTTCCTCCTCATTTACACATTTACAAATCAGGAGCAACAGCACACAAATGAAATTACCATAACATAAAACTATAGGCTTAGGCATACTCCAAATTTAATTCAAATTAAGTAAGCCCTTGATCTCCATTAAGGGTGGCATTCTTATAGCTCAAGTCATAGGAAGAGCTCTTGTACTAGAGGGATAGTTAACTATCTGGCAGTCCAAGCAAGTTTTCAGGATGTAACAACAGACCCCAGCTAGATTAAAATCACATATACAGACATAATTCTACTGAAACTAAAACAAACACATGTACCACTTCAAAGGGAAGGTCGGAGTCTCGCTGCCAAGGAGCGCTGTGGTATCTTGTCTACAACGCAGGTGCAAAAATAGAGGAAGCGGCCAAAGTACTTGGGTAGTGACATCCCTACAGTGCCTACACGTGTAATCTTACTGGACCAGTCTCTGCACATATGCTTATTTCTGGATTTCTTCCATGAAATTAATTCTACAAATAGGTTTTCTTCACTGCATCGAGTCTGCTGCATCTTTCTAGTGATGGTTAACACACAACAGAGCATTATTTCAAGTACAGAATACTGAGAGTCCCTACATTGAATTTGTGTTAATTAAAAAAAGTTATGATTACTCACAACACAAATTCAATTAAAAAAAGTTATGATTACTCACCTAAAGAAACAACTGCCACACTTTCTGGTAAAAAATGAAGTCGGTATTTTATCAGTAAATGCACCAATATGATGCAGATAGCTGCGAAGGAAAAAAATTATAGATTTAGAAATGTTGTAAGAGAATAAAATACAGTAGTATTTCTAAAATACAAGCAGCAAAACTACTCCTAACAATTTAGTAGAAATTCACTAATGCAAATAACCCATTTTTTTTTTCAAACCCAATTCTCCCCAAGGATGTAAATGGATCTACAAATGACAGAAAATAACTAAGGCAAATTTTAGGACTTAAAATTATCTTCTAAAAATACCAGTATTACTACTTTTAGAGCCTGATTCAGCTTACAAAACGTTCTGTGGGCAGTCATACAGAATATACTGTTCTAATAAAGCTTTTGGTAAACATTTTGTAGTTTTGAAATTAAACATACATGTACACATGGCCTCGACTAAAATGTCAAAGCTAGACACTTTCACATCCGAGTCACTCTGAGCAGACGGGCTTTACGCAAACGGGGAACTACAGAATCAGAAAAAATTACATTGGAAGGGATCTCTTGATCTAGTCCAACTTCCTGCTCAAAGCAAGGCTAACTTCAGAGTCAAAGAAGGTTGCCCAGGGCCTTGTCCAGTCAAGTTTGAAAATCCCTGAAGAAGTCACAACCTCTCTCAACTCCAGTTCCAGTGCTTAAGTCTCATGGTGAAGAATTTTCTTCTTCTTTCCAATCCACAAAGGCTACAGTAATATGAAAATCCTATCACAGCCTCTAGGCCAATGGTAAAGGTATGTTACAAAGGATCTATAGCAGATCTGTGTACCATCCATGGATATGGTTGGAAGGCACTTGATTCATTTAGAATGACCGCAGACAGGAAACTTATCTACAAGAATCAAATAATGCTGGATTATTAAATTCCTAACAATTTTGATCTGAGTATTTCCCGTGTTAAAAGCACAATTCTTCTCTCATTTTAATTTAGCTCAATAAAGGGTCAAAGAAACAGCACCTGGCCTGCAGGTTTGTAATTAATACATGTATTTTGCCCTATTTGCTAACAAATCAGCCTGCAGTGGGCTGGGCTGTGAACAGTGTTACTGCTTGCCAGAAAGGAACTGAAGCTCAAGCGAAGTCAACAGCACTTGATACACAGGAATCAAGTTGTGGCCTGTTAATCGCAGCAGAGACTGTTTTAAACTGTGTATTTGTCAAACCTGGTCATAACTGTAATGGGAATCTTCATTCTCCTTACTCCGTGCCTTGTACGTGTCGGTGACTCACCCCATTTCAGTGTGGGCAGCACAGTGCCAGGCCACACTACAACAGCACACATTTTGAACTCAGGAATGAACTAGCTTCTTGGAACTGCATCAGCGATTTGGTTTAACAGCTCCTTCTAGTTAACTAAAAAAACAAACAGCCACTTGCAGATGGCTCAGAAGAGCACTTTCAATTTAGAGCATGACAAGGTACAAAATGGTCCCCAAGCAGTCCTGAGCACGGGCATGGGTTTGCTGGATCACACCAACTACCAGGGTCTACAACATGGTCTGTATTTACTATACAATGTCACAAAAAAGAAGCACAAACCTCATAAATGCAAATACTTTTCATCGTTCTACTCCCCAGTACGGTGCTATGGAATGGTGTATCACACAGATGCCTGCATTCTCCTGCGTGTTCTCTCGTACAGCCAGTTCACACACAACATGCTAGGCATCTAACTGATGTGCACACGAATAGATGGATGGGCTTATGAACCGAGCAAGGACTCGCAAAAAATATTTGCTCAGTTACTGGCATGTAATTTGTTCAGGGCCAAAACTGTGAGTTCAGAGTGATCACAGAATCATGGAATGGTTTGGGCTGGAAGGGACTTTAAAGATCATCCAGTTCCACCCCCCCTGCCTTGGGCAGGGACCCCTTCCACTAGACCAGGTTGCTCCAAGCCTCATCCAGCCTGGCCTTGAACACTTCCAGGGATGCGGCATCCACAGCTTCTCTGGGCAACCCGTCCCAGTGCCTCACCACCCTCTCTGTGAAGAACTTCTTCCTGATATCTAATCTAAACCTCCCCGCTTTCAATTTAAACCCATTACCCCTTGTCCTGTCGCTACAGGCCCTTGTAAAAAGCCATCACAGGCATGGCTCCATTCATGAAGACTGGTAGGGGTCCCTTCCCCACATTATTTACTCCACTTCCACTCCAACAATCTTTATGGTACTGATCAGACAGTTCTCAAAACACCCGAGTTTACAGCACAGACTCAAACTGAACTGCAGCAGTTCAGAAGGTGGCTAACAAGCAACTCAGACATTTGACCGCCCGCTGCCAAACAGACTATAGGAGCAAGAGCTTCATCATGCATCCCCAAGCGAAGCTTTTATTCACCCGTCAATCAGTATTATTGAGTTTTGTATCCATTTCCTGCCTGTTAAACATGAAAAATATGCATCCAGCGAAGACACCTCAGATTACTGTGTTAAAAGCATTTTGTACTGCTCTTTGGGATAGATCCACAGAGGCATCTGGACATGCTGGATTTCCAGCAAACTCCAATGCAAGCACAAACATGCTTACTATGCAGCAGATCTAACTGCCAGCTCCCCTCTACCAGCTTCTGACTCCTTTGCTCTGGCAATACCACAAAAAGCAACACAGCCTAAGAAGAGACTCCCACCACCATAAACATTAGGGCAGCCTGGTATGTTCTGTAGCTGTTGGTCACTTACTCCTTGTGCAGGACTGCTCAGTTTGTAACTGGCAGCGTATCATCTGCTCCAGGCACTTGCACGTTATCAGGAGTATAACGATCAGGCAAGAGGCAGGAAAAAGCAGTGTTCTGGACAGGCTAAAAGAACATTAGAGTGTCCCCTTAAAGAGCACAGTAAAAGCACATAACAGAAGGGAATTCATGGATCACATGAACATGGCAGAATAGAGGTATGACTCTGAAACTGAAATGCTGTTTGAACAGATAAACAAGCCATAGAAATCTGGGATCAGACACTAAGTCATGCTACTTCAGGCACTTCATATCTGGGGCTTGGCTTTGACACAACACAGCTCAGAACAGATCTGCTTCTGGGTCTATTCCAGTTTAAAATATTTTTAAGGCCATTTTACAGCTCACAACATCCAGATTTAAGAGTCTTGTTGACTCTTAAACATTTCATTTTCACCCTTCCTACACCCTTAAATCAGAGATTATGAACGGGAATAACTATACAATAAGCTTTTATACTGGCTTTACTTTGTTCAGGGAACTCCCCTGCCCCGAGGGTGATGCTTTTAAGATCCATTAAGTTATCAGACTGACATAAATAGGCTGGAACACAGCCAAAAAAAATCACAGCTCTGTTCTTAAGTCCTAGGAATACAATTTTACCATGAATAGCCCTTTTAGAATCCATGACACACACATATTCAGAAAGTTTATTTTAATTTTAGAAGTCTTCTGATCTACTGCATTTTCCTTTGGTCTTTCTTTTGTTTCTATTCAAATTCTACTATGCCATTGACCTCTGGGAAAACATTAACCCTCTTTGAAGACAAATAGATACTTAAGAAATCAGCAGAACCCTTTACTTTTTGTAAAGTTTTTACACTTAATCATTACTATTTAGCGGAGATAAAAATTTTTTTTAAACCCAAATGATTTGCAGAAGTTTCTGCATTGCTGTCAACTCCATACCTATTATTTTCTCCATTTGCCACTGAGAAGAATAACCACTTAGAAGACTAGGTGACCCATCTGTCACAGAAAAGTCTCGCAGTGCAGTTGGCTTTGGAGGAACCAAGCACAAAGGAAAACAGACAAACCCTTAAGCCTCCATGAAAGTTTTGTTATTGCTGAGAGATTAACTGTACTCTGTTGAAGAAGGGAAACAGCTCAGACTTATACAAAAGTTGGACATGCATCTGTGATTCAAAATCCCTATATATGTACAGCAATGTTAATATAATTATAGCAATCTGCATGTTATTATTGCACTCTTGTAGGAATGTAAGAACATAAGGAAAGTCAGAAAAATAGATGTTAAACTTTAGTGCATGTAAATCTGACTGCCTTCCTTTGGCTTATATAGCCAAATACCTGAGGACTGTCCAGAAGTGCTAGAAGTAGTTAAATTGACATCTGTCTAGTACACTGCCCTCAAAGACAGCTGCAAGCACCATGGAGTATTCTGAGAGTGACTTTTTCAAACATGAACACATGCCATAGACTTGATAAAGAAGGAGAAGATAATTAAACATGTGCTTGCACTTTGAGACCAGGATGAAAAGGTTTGCAATGGTCCTGAGCTTTCCACAGGTTTGGGAAGTTCAGGCAGTTACATACCCAACTTTCTAAATCCCTGTGCCTGTACAGTATTCCATCTCACAGAGAGAAAACCAGAGGAGAAATAAAACTATATGATTTTGAAAGTTGACCTATGTTCTCAGATACAGAGTATGATTAATGGAGATTAAAACACTTTCAGTTCATTATTCACCTAATACAAGAAGACTAAAAAAAATCGTCATGCCACTAGATTGCTCCTCTTGCTGTGCTTGGACTCCAGTCTGAACTGGAAGGATAGGTTTAGCAGGTGTAGGTACCACCAATTTGGTAGTAGCAGCCAGCGTAGTGTGGAGGGTGACATTGATGACTTCATGGGTGGTATTTGCAGACCTGTCAGGATAATATAATACATGATTATACTGGGTTGGAGCAACATGATAAAGATAGCCTACTGAGGACACGTACACATGAAACAACCACCACATCATACTGAATTTGTACCAGTGACCAACACGTTAATGCTGCTTTTTATAAGCTGTCTCTGATCACTGACAAATATGTGAAGTTCAGACTCATGGAGCTCATTATTGCCGAGTTCCTTCATGCACTGCAGACACCAAGCACTCTATGCTGCAGCTTGGGATGAAGCTGAAAGCCTGACACCGAGAGAACGAACTAGCCCATTTAGCCTGTCGGGCGTAAC